GTGTTTCAGACGATCAAAGGCTGCGTTTCATCTCTTCAATATTCTCTGGAATATGTTGAGCGGGAGGAGGGGGAATGCGGAGCTGCAGCGTCTCTGCTCCAGACTAACAGCAGCAGCTGACTCATTCACACACAGATCAGAGCTGCAGACGACCAGACACACACACTGCTGCACACACACACACACACACACACACACACACACACACACACTGCTGCATGCACACACACACACACACTGCTGCACACTCTCACATGCGCGCAGAGCGGTTCAGGTGGATTCATGCGCGGCTGTGAGGACCGGAGCATGGATGATGCTGCCGCCGGGTTAGTCTGCTCTCCGTCTGTCTGCAGGTTCTGGTTCTGGATGCTTGGATCAGCTGGTTGTGTGTGTGTGTGTTGAGGTCACCTTTATGCTGACAGGAACAGGTGAGTTGCAGCAGCTCTGTGCTGCTGCGTCTCGTTCAGTTCTGATGAAACTTCAAGTCTAAGGCTCTGCTGCTGTTGTTTACGTTGTTGTTGTTTACGTTGTTGTTGTTTACGTTGTTGTTGTTGTGCTCCTGTTGGAACATTGTGTCACCAGATCTCCCAGATCAGTAACGGAGGGCTGCGTTGCGTTTCCCATGAACTAAGCTGAGCTGATTTGGGTCGACTCCTGTTTGGGTCCATGTTTGAATCAGCGTTGGTCATTAATTCAGTTAAAGTACCTTTATTTTGAAAGGCCACTTTATTTCCTGTTCTGCGTCTGTTTAGCTGCTGCAGGATGAGAACCAGTGAGAAACAACATCCTGTTTGTGCTGTTCTTCATGAAGATGATTTATCTGGTGGGTGTCACCGTGTGGGTCTTGTTCTGGCCCAGTTCCTGAGTTCTGGTGGGTTTCTGGAGATCTGAGCCTGTTGATGCTCCTTTTCTCTGCTGCTGGACTATTGTTTCCTACTAAAGAACCATCAGTGTGTGAGTGTGCACGTGAGCGTGCACGTGAGTCACTGTACATTGCAGCGACCTCCAGGAGCAGCTGCAGCTCTGGTTCTGACCCGGTGAAGAGGACTGTAGTTCCACAGAAACATCATTAAAACACATGAACCCACCTTAGTCTTCAGAATTTCCTGTTGATGAAATCTGCCACAGAACCAGAACCAGAACCAGCTCCATCTGTTCAGCTGAAGGCTCGATAAGACCGAAGAACTGGACCAGGCAGCACCAACCTACTGACAGCCAGAACATCTCAGGTTCTTCTGTGAAGCCCAGAGGAACTTCCTCTCTTCTGATTTATACTTTGGGAGAACCAGGCTCTTATTCTGAAGGCTCTCTTTGAGCTTTATTTTGAAACTCCAGGTTGAGTTCTCTTCCTGCTTCCATGCTTTTTCCTCAGAGGAAGAAGAAAAGCATTCTGGGTCGCACACAGCGCTGCCTAAAAGTTTCTGAACTCTAATTTTCTATATTTCTGCATCAACATCAACGTGACCTCAAACATCTTCAGGTTTTCACTCAAGTCCTGAAAGTAGATGAAGAGAAACCAGTTCAACAAACGGGACTAAAATATTAAACTGGGTCATTAATTTATGGAGGAAAATGATCCAGTTACATATTAAAGGTAAAAGTGTGTGAACCTCTAGGATTATCGGGTGAAATTAGAGTCAGGTGTTTTCAATCAATGATGATGATCAGGTGTGAGTGATCACCTGTTTGATCTAAAGATCAGGATCTATCAACGTCTGCTCTTCACAACAGGATGATGGAACAGAGGAGATCTCATCAGGCTGGAGAAGGTCACAAACCATCTCTAATCCACAGTCGGACAGTTTGTGTCCAAATGGAGGACGTTCTGGACCATTGTTCCCTCCCCAGGAGTGGTGGACCAACAAAGATCAAGGAACAGTGGACGAGGTCACAGAGGACCTCAGGGAAACTTCTAAACATGTTTCATTAAAATACGTCAAATACCTGACGGACTACTTTAAAAATAAATTTGACAACTTCTGCTGAACGGGGGGGGGGTACCCCTCCTGTTCTCTCTGCTCTCCGTTTCATGTGTTCACACATGAGCTTAATATGAGATGTTTACCAGTAAACATATGAGCTTAATATGAGATGTTTACCAGTAAACATATGAGCTTAATATGAGATGTTTACCAGTAAACACATGAGCTTAATATGTGATGTTTACCAGTAAACATATGAGCTTAATATGTGATGTTTACCAGTAAACACATGAGCTTAATATGTGATGTTTACCAGTAAACATATGAGCTTAATATG